GAAGGAAGGAAGGAAGGAAGGAAAGAAAGAAAGAAAGAAAGAAAGAAAGAAAGAAAGAAAGAAAGAAAGAAAGAAAGAAAGAAAGAAGGAAAGAAAGAAGGAAAGAAAGAAGCTAAAAACTAAAATCTCCAGCTTCCTGGCCCCTCTTTCAAACTGGACACTTCCCAGTGGGCCTCCTCAGAGAGACTTACCATTCTGTAGAAAGAGTCCTGGGGACCTAGGATGAGCTGTTCTCTTGAACCAGATGAAGACAGCCATACTTGGAGAGACCAATGCAGAGGAGACAGGAAATTTTTAAAAGAAGAAAAGAAAGACAGCGACCCTTCCAGTAATATTCAGAGGTCAGAGTCAGGAAAGTCAGTACAGGGAGAACACCACTTACCCAGAATTCTCAAGAACAAAAGTGTTTTAGATTTCAGGTTTTTTTTTTTTTTCTGATTTGGGAATATTTGCATATTCATACGGAGATACAGTGGGAACAGGACCTAAGTCTAATCAGGAAGCTCACACTGCATAAGCCCTGTGCATACAGAGCCTGGAGGTAGGTTTGTGCAGTATGTACAGCGCCTCTGTATTTTGACCGTGACTCTTTGTGACATGAGGTGAGATCTAGAATTTTCTGCTTGTGGCAGCCTGTTGACACTCAAAGGTTTTTAACTTCGGGTCTCAGACATTCAGACTTGGGAAGCTCCTCTTGTGTGTCCATTTAGTCAACCTAAGTTCAAGGCCATGAGTATTTTAGAATGGAAGGAAAAGGAGACACTAGAAATTCACTCACCATTTTCTAGAAACGTCCTAACCATGCACTTGAGGCCTGGCAACTCGACAGGCTCTCAAGTTTAGCAGCTTCGTGAGCTCTGGGGACCGTCTCTCCAGTACAACGGCTGTCCATCCTTTTCACAGTCTAGACACCCCCTCCCCCTGTCTTGGGACACACGTGTACAAGAAAGACAAGAGTGACAGTGTTCAAATGAGAAAGGGGGAAATCCCTAAATAAAACAGAAATGGGTCCGGTGGCCTTTGCGATGCCCTTTAAACTCTGGCAAAAACAACAGCTGCCTTGTTCTGATCCAATCTAATCTCTCAGAATTTATGTTCCTTAATTCTTCTCCTTGGCTTCCATACAGACAAAAGAAACACACGGCCTTTGCCAGATCAGGTTCTCCCCTGCCAAATCGCAGGCCTGACCTACACCCCGGAGTCTGTGTTCCTTCAGGCAGCTACCCTATCACCTGCTTGGGTGTGCTGGGCCCAGGCGGCAGGTAGTTTAAAGGTTGCGTCTAGCTGGGAAGGTGGGACTTTGAAAGGATCCTGAGAGACGGTTGTTTCTTATTCTTAGGAATCACTCGGCTTCCGTATACTCACATGCATGTTCTTCCCCAGAATTAAAGCCCCCAGACTCACTGTTGTGAAGTTTTCTATAAAGGATAAAAGAAGCTCCTTTTTATACTTGCGTCAAAACAAAGTAGGAAAAGTATACTTGTTTTTGTTTTTGTTGTTGTTTTTCTGAAGCCTGCATCAACCCTAATGCATTCAAAGATGGAGACACAATGTAACAGGTTAGACTCCCATAGCCTCTTGGGTTCTAGCAAGGGCTTCAGGATACAGTGGGGGGGGGGGGGACCGGACGGGACAGGCCTGTGGACCTATTTTAAGCAAGTTTGACCCAGAGGAGGTAATACACAAACAATGTACTTACACCCAGAGCCCATTTGGGACAGACTCATACCCAAGTAGCTGTTCTGCTGAATATCCTAGTCTGTGTCATGAGCCACCCTTCAATGGTGTCCTTAGCGGTCCCACTCAACCACTCCGGGCACCCAGGGGCCAGGAACGATTGGTATAAAGGTCAAGAGTTTGAGGGAACAGCTACATGGAAGCAGATTACCTCTTCTCAACACCCTTGAACAAAGGGGATTTATTTTGTATAAGCAGACATAACTGGCAAGGAACACGTTTCTAAATCCATCCCCTTGGTTGCGTAAAATCGATGCTGCGCCAGCCAGCGCACATTGGTGCTGCGGAGGACAGGTGTGATCCCTCACCTACCGTGTGTGAAGAAAGATAAAATGCCCCTCACATTCGGAAGATTGATAACCTCACAGAGACCGGACTGTTTCTCAGCGGCTAGCGAGGTTCGGTGGGTGGGTGGGTGGGTGGGGCACATACGGCTTTCTCTTGGTCGGAGCTTGTTTGGAGTGGCGCGCATGCGCGTGAGCAGGAGTAAGGGCTGGAGAAAGCCGACCCGAGGATCACCTCATCAGCTCGGTTTCTCTCTGGCAACCGTTCAGAAGTTGCAGGGTCAGTAGCATTTGGAAAGGAGTTGAGATGGGCGAAATATTCCTGTGAGAGAAAAATAATCACACTGCTCCATGTAAAATGCAAAGAGGAGAGAAGAGGATGGCCCGAGCCACCTTTCACTGACAATGCTGGATTTTCTCATCGCGACACCTCAGAACACGCGTGTCAATAGGAAGAGCTGTGCTTTGTAAGTGGTACAAGAGTGATCTGCACCACAAACTCCAGGAAATACTCAGATGCCAGGGTCTGTGCTGACTTCTAAATATCTAAGAAGTGAGGAAACTGTCCTCTTAAAAAAAAAAAGGTCTTACTTTTATTATATAATTATCTGTGTATGTCTGAATGTGGGCATGTGTACTTGAGTGCAGGTGGCCTTGGAGGCTAAAGGCCCCGGGAGCTGGAGTTACAGGCAGTTATGAGCCACTTTCCCCCAATGCGAGGGCTCAGAACCTAACTCAGGGTCTCTGAGAGACCATTACAACACCCTAACCCTTAAAGTGATCCCTTTAGGCAGCAAAGCAACAGTTTCAGTTGTCCATCCACCTTGGGAACATGAGTGTCTAGGATGTTAATATAATCCCACAAACACCTACCACGTACAAATGCAAGACACTCAGGCCCACTTGCTTTCCAGATGAACAATTCATAACCTTTACTACAAATATTGCATGGTATTATACTCACGCTAAAAAGTATTTACTGGACAAATAGTAAGACTCTGTCTCAGAGAAAGAGAAAGGGAGCAAGGGAGGGCCAGAAGTTTAGGGAGGAGAGATTGAAATTTACCTGGAATCAATCTCTCTCTCTCTCTCTCTCTTTCTCTCTCTCTCTCTCTCTCTCTCTCTCTCACACACACACACACACACACACACACACACACACACCTTTTCTCCAACTGGCAATCTTAACACCAATGAATGCCCTTTCCTCCAAACTCTCCTTCTCTCGCTAGAAATGCCCACCCACTCTACATGGTTCTTTAAATCGTGCTCACCCTGAAAGTCCTCTCTTAGGGTCTCCCACACACATTGTCATCCCCTTTTGTGAATACCACAGCATATGCCAACAGAACAATGATCTGGGATGTTGTGGGCTACGGCGTTATCCTAGAAAGGCTTCCTAAGCTTGCGTGATCTCTCTCCACATAAGGCAAGCCATTCGAGACAAAAATGTTCCTAACTTTTTAGCCCACACTGCCTCTTGCCTCAGACTAGCTGCTTCGTAAATGATGGGAAGAGGGTTTGATTTAGGCAACTGACAGAGAGAGGTTCTCATATCACTTCCTCCCAACTTCTGCCAAGGGTGGAGAGAGCAAAGGGTAGAGAGGAAGCATCTAGAAGACTCAAGATAAGCACGTGAATAAATACGTCAAATTTTAAAGGATTCGCACACAAGCTAAAGGTAACATCTGTGAGTGAGGTGAGTCCACACTCAAATTCAGAATTGGGCACAAGGTCAGAGTGGGCCACACGCTGCTTTGTGAATTCGCTTCTGTTGAAATTCCCGTCACCATCTGAAGTCTCTGCAATTGCCATAAGATCCTTGGAACGTTCAGAGAGGACAGACTGTGGGCATCACCTGAGCCAAACTAAACTCCTGTCAGAGAAGAAGTGGGATTTGCAAAGTTACCTGTCCGTGTCATCCTGTGGGTTAAGTCAGCTGGCTGGTCTCCAGGTTGAAACCTCCCAGTGTGTCAAACTATTGTCTGTTCAGGGGGTAAGGTTTCAACTCTACTAAAAAAAAATAAATAAAATAAAATAAAAAAGGTATCTTTTTCTTTGTCTGAAAAAATGTACACTTTTAGTGGTAAATCGGAAGCCAGAAGCACTAGCTGTGGATAGTGGATGTATCTGTTCTCATGCCTTTCTTTTCCTGTGTGTAGCCTATCAGAGAGGCCATGTTGAGCCCTGGCTCAGGAACGTAAAAATATTCAGTCCCTGACTGTTAAACAACTATATTAATATGTGCGTGCCTATATACATACATTATATGTCATTTTAATTTGGGAGTGGTGGGGATAATTTATTAATTTATGTTTTGTTTTGTTTTGTTTTTGTTTTCAAGACAGGTTTCTCTGTGTAGCTTTGGAGCCTGTCCTGGAACTTGCTCTGTAGACCAGGTTAGCCTCTGCCTCCCGAGTGCTGGAATTAAAGGCATGCACCACCACAGCCTTGCCAAGAATAATTTATTAACATTTAATGAACCTTCCTGTTTGGCTTCAAGTCACCAGGACACGCTCCACCCCCAACACTGGGACCCCCTAGAACACCCTTAATCTCAACTCTTTTATTAAGAATTTGACCTTCAGAGCAGGGGGTGGTGGTACACGCCTTTAATCCCAGCACTTGGGAGGCAGAGGCAGGTGGATCTCTGTGAGTTTGAGGCCAGCCTGGTCTACAAATAGTTCCACGACAGCCAGGGCTGTTACACAGAGAAACCATGTCTCGAAAAAGAAAAAAAAAAATTGACTTTCACCATGGCACACTGCTTAGAAAGCTTTCCTTTTCTAGAACTTTGTAATAGCCATAGAAGAAAGAGGGATTTATAGTCTACCACACAGACACCAGCTCCCTAGTCAGCATGAGAAAAGACCCATGAAGTCTGGTGTCCATGTAGAGCATGGCCTGCCGAGAATTCTGGCATACTAGGACACGTGTTCGTCAGGATGTTAACGTTGTTTTTAATTAGAAGGCACACCATTACAGCTTGCTTAATGATTTTTTTTTCTACTTGATGTTTGTCTCTAAGTGTTTTCCCATGTCACCAAATACCATCCTAAAACATAATTTTTAAGAGCTGCCTACGGTAGGGCTAGGCCAAAACTTATTTACCCAAATTCCAGTCGATGGTAGTTTTAAAAATGACTTTGAGTTTCAAGCAATGTAACTCAATTATGATAACTGGCTGGACATGATTTCCAGTGAGAATCAGCCTTTGCATAAATTGGGTCTTTATATGCAGTAGGAGGTAAAGTCAGAAATAAGCAATGGAGCCGACCACCTAGGGTCACATGCTCAGCTCACAGAAGGACAGAGGCTCCTCTTCTGTACACAGCATAAGCCTGGGTCAGACCCACCAGCCTCCGCTCAGAACCTTCTATGTGAATTCATCTTTATCTCAGTGACTTCTTACATGAAAAATAATCATCCTATCGAGGCAGATAAAGAGATCTGACACAAAGGGCACTCTGGGCTTGATTTCATCAGCCTCCCTCTTAGCCAAAGAGTTCCAAAAACTCAGTCATTCCCTTCTCTCCCCAGACAAGTTCAATTTACCTATTCCACCAGGGCCAGGACTTAAATTCCGGGAAAATACAACACAAAATACAGCACAAGCTTCTGAAATGCTGGATATTTTTGACATACATTGTGACATACATTAGATGTGGGGGTGCTGAGTCCTGGAAATTCGGGCCACAGAGAAAGCCTTTTGAATGTGTAACAATCAAAGATTAACTCAGAATCCATATGCATTAACCTGAGGCACTGCTGGCGTCAAGTGCTGTTTCAAGTGACCTCAGGGCAGCTTTGCCCATGACCATAGCAGACATGTTTTGTATTGTGCATACCCATATCCTACGCAACATCAACAAAACCTGGATTGCAATGTTTTTTACTATACATACAAGTTTTTCCCCCTTATAAAAACACGATGGCTAAATATGGAAAACAAAGACTTATCATACTTTCCTACTATCATTCCTTGGCATATTAATATCAAATTAATATATCTTTGGGTTGTATTATGTTAGAACGTTCGATTTTAAAAACTGTTATGTGGGTTGCTGACTTAGGTTTCATTAAAAAAAAATAGTTAAGTGAATTTTGTCTGGGGATTAAAACAAAATTTCCAACCATTTCTGAAATGGCCCTAAACAGACGTCTATAGGTTTTGAACTACATATTTATGCAAAGTAGTATTCTCAGCATTGATGAGTAGAAAGTCAAAATATGGATCAACTCTGAAAAATGTTGAAGATACTCTATATGCTGCAGTATCAAATGCCCAGCCAAGATTTAACGCATTATGTAAAATAACCAGCAAATTGATCGAATTAGTATGCAGTTTGCTTTACACTTTATCAAATGGTATAATTATATGTGTAGCAAAGACTTGTTTTAAAATAAATTTCTTTATAATATATAGCCAGCAAACATTCTATTTGAATATCTACTTTAGGTATTCCTTTTCCTTTTTTGTATGTGAATGTGTGTTTGTATGTGTGTGGGCACATGCTACGATGGATGACCCCAATACCCATGCACTTAGAGGTAGCACTAACTGGACTTAATGGGTTATCAAAGAAAGGTAAGATGGGAAATGGGAGGGGTCTGTGTTGGGAGGGTGTGGGGAGAGTTGGAGGAGGGAAATGAGAGGTGGATATGATTATATTTCAATATATATATATATTTACATTTACATACATATATATATATAAATTCTCCAAAGAATAGAAAAATTATGACTTAAAAAATAATAATAACAGGAGGGGGGTTCTGAGAGGAAACATTTTTTGTGGCTGTTATTTGTTTGTTGGTTTTTTGAGAAAGGGTTTCTTTGTGTAGCCCTGGCTATCCTGGAACTCACTGTAGACCAGGCTAGCCTCAAACTCAGAGATCTGCCTGCCTCTGCCTTCAAGTGCTGGGATGAAAGGTGTGTATCACCACAGCCTGGTAGGGGGAAAAAAAAATTAAAGATTGACTAATACCCAACCTGAATACCACATTTGTGAAATGTCAGTGAAACCTGGTCTGTAAGTTGCATGCTGCGCTTACTCTTGGTTGAACATTTTTAAATGATCTCATGTAATGCATCCGTGACACGCAGCCACCTATAACTTTACCTTGCCACTCTGATTGCGTCCTCTCCGCTGAGGCACAGTAGACCAAAGCAGGCCCTCCCATGGTCACAATCTTGGTCCTAAGCTATAAGGGGGAATCTTCAGGGTTTTGTGTGCGTCCTGCCGTGAGAACTAATGAGATGATGGTGGAGAAGAAGCAGGTAACTCAGGCTCCTTCCCCCAACCAGTATGAGCAGCTTTTCCCTTCCAAGTCTAAACTCAGCTTGGTTCCTGGCCTCGGGAAGGCTGTCAGGCTCCAGGACTGACCCACTGAAGAAGGCAGAGAACGCTAGAAACGTTTTCATTCGGCCATGTCTTCACATCCATTCCCTGGATGGAACTTCATGCTGCACGCCATTTCAGAGGTGGTTGCATCCACCATGGTGTACATACTGCTATGTTTTCTTTTATTGAGACAGGGTCTGCTATCGCCCGGACGGGCTGTGCTTCCCTTTCTGTCTCCTGAGGGCTGGGATTACAAGCATGTACCATCAGATTCAACTTTGCATTTTGCTGTCTGGTGAACCTAGTCAAGTCAGGACCAGTTTGAATGTCCCCTCCAGAACTCATGCTGAGAGGTAATCGTCATAATAACTGTATTAAGAATGGGAACTTGAGAGACAACTAGCCTGTGAGGGTTCTGCCTTTAAGAGTAGATTAGGGGCCGGGCGGTGGTGGTGCACGCCTTTAATCCCAGCACTCGGGAGGCAGAGGCAGGCGGATCTCTGTGAGTTCGAGGCCAGCCTGGGCTACCAAGTGAGCTCCAGGAAAGGCGCAAAACTACGCAGAGAAACCCTGTCTCGAAAAACAAAAAAACAAACAAACAAAAAAAAAAAAAAGAGTACATTAGGGTCGTTATATTAAGAGTGGGTCAGCTATTGCAAGAGGGGACTCCCAAAAGGGAAAGCTTGCTGCCCTCTGCCTTTCTATTTCGTGAGTGCTTCCTTGTCCTTCTGCCATTATTGTGAGGCTACACGGAGACCCCCTTGCAGGTCCTGACACATAGTCTTCTTGAGTCCAACAAGCTTCTGTTGTTTACATTTTTGGAAGTTTTTTTTTTTGTTTGTTTTTTGGTCTGATAATGTTATAGGTAGCCCACAGAGATGACCACTCAAACAGTTTATAGCCAATTGAAAGTCTTTATTCCAACTGGCTGCAACTACACCCCAGTATCTGGGGACCTAGGTATAGCCCCTGAGTGTCCAGAACATGGGATTTTTGAAGGCAGAAACCATGTCCTGGCACCTAGCTCTGCAGCTTTGGGGATGGGGATGGGGATGGGGTGGGGTTTCACATACCCAAGCAGTTTGATAGAAGCTAAGATAAGCGGTTAGCTGGAAGGGGAGGTTTGAACAAGCAGGACTGTTGTTCAAATCTTAGCCGGTCTTTTAATAAAAAACTCAGAGACAGATATCAGCGTGAAAGCTGAAAGATCAGAGAAGCAGAACGGCCAGCCACTAGTTCTTACCTCTACGAAATCCTCAGCCTAAAGAGAGTGAGTTCCTATTTCCTCATACCTTATATACCTTTCTGCTTCCTGCCATATTACTTCCTGGGATTAAAGGCATGTGTGCTTCCCAAGCAAAAGTATGAGATCTCAAGTGCTGGAATTAAAGGTGTGTGTCACCACTGCCTGACTCTGTTTCTCTTCTAGACTGAATCAATCTCCTGTAACCAAGGGTAGCTTTGAACTCACAGAGATCCAGACAGATCTCTTGACTCCTGAGTGCTAGGATTAAAGGTGTGTGCCACCACTGCCTGACCTCTATGTCTACTCTAGTGGCTGGCTCTGTCCTCTGATGCTAAGGCAAGTTTATTAGGGTACACAATATATCACCACACAGGCAGTTTAACAGCACTAAGAT